CGTAGCCATGAAGATATCAATGCTGTTTGTGTCCCGCTTTCTAGTAGATGCACACGCAAGCTTGACGGGGCCTGGTCGTCATCCGGACGCAGAACGCAGAAGGGATGGGGTATGCCGTTTTCAGGCGGCTACGTATAACCTGCTGATATTCAGTATTAGTATCAAGTACGGGCGGACAGGATCTTGTTTGGGTGATGCCGAATCCGTTGTTGAACCCCGTTAAGCCATGTATGCGCCAGTAACGTCCATACGAGTAGATGCGCATCTGTATACGGACCGAACTCGTAGTCGACCGCATGATAGTACATCCAGTCGATGACCACAAGCTGTCGATGGTCGGAATGCATGCCTATGAGAACAGATCCTCTCGCTTCATGCCATAGATGCGCAGGCAGAGAGTGGTGTACGAAGCCACTTGTCGCTGAGAGCAATCATAATATATATCTAGGGTGGGCCTCTGCCCTTCGGCGTCGCGCTCGGCGCGGTGGACTTGGCTACGTGCACGGACTTAACGGCAATGAGCGGCACGAGAGAGGGCACCGGTCGCTGGGGAGATACGCAGCACACGCGTTAGGGTCGAGGGCCCGCCGCTCTGTATAATACGAGTACTGGCTGAGGAGTTGTGATAGATCATGGGCGGCGAACGATGGACTAGCTGTATTCGTTCAGTTGTTGCTTGTTACGATGCCGTGCATGAGCCAGCAATACATGGCTCGTCGGTGGAAGGTTGAATATAGCTGGGGTGTTCGAGCATTTGTACGGGTAAGACCGGGCGGTTGTCGGTCACAGCTCGGGATGGTAAAGCTGCATGTTTTACAGCATTCGGGTAAGATCTCAGTGACGGTATTGTTGGCATATATCAGGTATACATCGTGAAGCACACATGCAACTGCTCAGTCATTAGTACCGGGATGAGAACTCGCAGGGTACGAAGGGGGAGCCTCTTGTGTTTGCAACCTCCTGAGAACCTGATTTACCAAGCGATCAATAACAGTCTCGCTGAGCTCTCCAGGCGGACCCGTCTCCGGTGGAGAATCTGTCCGGGGTAGTACATGATGCGCAGTATCCTCCAAGGCCGCCGTCGTAGAGCGCTCGACCGTGCCGGGTCCGCCATCTTGTCCACTCTTCCTCTCCCATCCAACGGGAGTCCTGGTCCCGGTTCTGATTGGTCCCAGCCGTTGAGTCCCCGGCCTGCTTAGAGGGAAGGGCTCTACACTTGTCACTACACTCCTCGCTGCCTCGTGCGAGGCATCAGACACGGTCGAGGCCGCACGCCTTGAGCGCCGCACGATCCATACAACCCCCACCAGAACCACCAACGCACCGGAGCCGGCGCCTGCAGCAATTCCAGCAATCGCGCCTTCGGGCAATGCGTTGGACGGGTTGAGCGAGGCGGAACTAGAGGCAGATGGTGCAGCTTTGGAAATCGACGCGGGGAGGGAAGAAGTCCTTGAGGCGGCCGAGCTAGTAGTGCTGACCACGGTACTTGAGGCGGGCCCGGGCGTGATAACAACGGGCAACGAGCTTGAAACGCCAGTTACCGAGTCACCGAGGCATGCCGTATTGGTGGATCCCTGAACGGTGAAGAGGGCACTGGTGGCTAGGCCGCCGTTCGCCTCGTGGACGACGAGGAAAAATTGTTGGCCGGCAGGCTTATTTACTGGACTCCACTGAACCGGGCTGCTTAGCGCGTAGCTCGTAATATCCTCCACAAATTTCTGCTCGTTGTCGAGCAGACGAATAATAAACGGGCCGGTGCCGCCCATCCAGGTAACCTGGTAGGACTCGCATTGGGCAGCGCCGGTTGCACCCGTGGCCGTGGGTGTATTGACCTACCCGGGGCGTCAGTGGGTCGTCAATATGGTCAAGTCATCTTCAACGCACGGTGAACTGCGCATCCGCGAACGCGACGAGAGCGGCGAGGATGGAAAGCCGGGCGAACATGCCTGTGCGATGAGCATCGCGCCTTTACGCCCACCCTTTATGTGTCTGTAGCTACGAGAGTAGGCGCCCTGACTGTGTCCCGCTTTCTGGTAGTGGTACACGCAAGCTTGACGGGGCCTGGTTGTCATCCGCATACACCCATATGGGTTGCGATACCATGTCTGAGGCGGCTATGCATGATCATGGTGATGTTCAGTACTAGTATCAAGTGTAGATGGATGTCAACTTGCCTGTGTGAAGCCAAATCTGTCGCTGAACCTCATTAGGCCACGCATGTGCCAGTAACATCCGTACAATGAGAAGCGCATCTGCAAACGGACCGAAGTTGTATGCGATTGCATGATACATCTAGTCGATGACCATTCGACCGTCGGAATACACGCCGATTGGCGCAGATATACTCGCTTCGTGCCGCAGATGCATATAGAGTGGTGTATGAGCCCGCTCATCGAGGAGGAAAAATGCGGCGCATCTAGGAATAACCACCAAGACGAGCAGTACTGGCCGAAGAATGGTGATAGATCATGGACATCGAGCGACGGGTTCGCTGTATTCGTTGAGTCGTCGCCTGTTGCAATGCTCGTGAACGACGAGCAGCGGCAACCTAAGAACCCAGACTATTACGCGCAGGGACGTTCGATACGTCGTAGACAGTGAAGATAAAGACACCTGCCCGTCCTGATCGGATATGTAGTAGTCCGGAGTATGCGTCCGTTGTACGCTATAGGTCCAAGCGTGCACATCCAAATCCGGCGCCCGTGTCTCATGGCACGGAAGAAGAACCTCGGAGCAGTCCTCCGCAGCCGCCGCTTAGCCGCTAACCTCTTCAATATTCAATCCGTACGTCTTCACGCATGCCGAGGAGGGCGAGGAAGGTGGTCACCAGGGCTCGAGGCGCGTCCAAAAGACCAAGCCAACGACCGAAAGCAGGACAATGTGGAAGAAGCAGTGCACAAGCGGGCTGCGTGCGGGCCTTGGCTTGTCTCGGCGCGGTCCGTTGTTCGCGCGTCTCCGATAGATACCGTCTCCGTTGTGGATGGCGATGCCGGCGGTCTCAGCTATAGAACGGAGCCCGGAGTCTTGTCTTGTAGCTGGTTTGAAGAAAATAGTAGGGTGTGTGTCGCCGAGAATAGAGAAGAGCAGGCGCGGAACACGAGGGAAGGAAGAATGTATATTTTCAGGTCATGTCCGTATCCGTGCGCGAGAGCCGATCAGGAAGAGCATCATGGATGCGAAGATGTGATGAGCTATACGTGTTGCGTTCGAGCGTGTTCAAATTCCTATTGCCTTCGTCTGGCAGAGTATCACTGCACAAAGCGTACAGAAGCCAGGTATGTTATCCACACGGATGGTAAGGGCAGGAAGCAAAGCACCGATCCCGGCAGAACGGAGAGGAAACGTCTGCGCGCAGGCACATTTCTCATCACAAATTACCCGGACAAAGCTACCGAGACCCTAACCTTAGCACGAGTATATAATCGGAGTCGCGCGATTTCGGGTCGGCAGCTCCTTCGCTCTCGACGCCCGCACCCACGCCCGTAACGCAGCCATGTTCGCCTCCCTCTTCACCCTTGCCGCTCTTGCTGCTTCTGCTGTCGCGCAGATCACCGTACGTCTGACCTAACCTGTTTGAGATGCGGAATGGAAGGCGCTAACAAATCAAATGTCATTGTACAGATCAACACGCCGTCGGGCGCTACCGGTGCTATCCAGTGCGAGGTGTACCAGGTTTCCTGGACGGGTGGTACTGGTCCGTTCGATATTCGTCTGCTCGACGCCGGCCAGAACTTCATTGAGGAGGTTGCGGCTTCGGCGACGACGAGCCCGGTGCAGTGGACCGTGAACCAGGCTGCGGGCACCATCCTCTTGTTCTCCATCCACGACTCGACCGGTACCGCGGCAACGACCGGCCAGTTCACCGTCCAGGCTTCCTCCAACACTGGCTGCCTCGGCGCTTCGGCATCTGGCTCGTCTACTGCCGCCGGCTCGTCGGCAGCTAGCAGCGCGACCAGCGCAGCAGGTGGCAGCGCAACCGCTACCGCCACCGGCTCGGTCAGCTCGAGCGTCTCGTCCATCCCCAGCTCTGCTGCCTCTGCCGCGTCCAGCGCCGTATCCTCTGCGGCTTCTGCCGCGTCGTCGGCTGCCAGCTCTGCTACGCGCCCCGTCAGCTCGATTGCGTCGGCGGCATCTTCCGCAGCAGCTTCCATGTGCGTCTTCTATCTTACGTAATACAAGAAGCTGTCACTGACTCTTCCTCATCAGCTCCTCCGCTGCTTCCTCTGCCACCCAGAGCAGCGCCGCCTCGGTTGTCGCACCCGCCGGCGTCCTCGGTGCCGTCGTTGCCGGTCTCTTCGCGCTCGCCGCGTAAAACCCGTTCTATACCCGCCTCCCTACCTACCGCGAACTTCTCATCTCGTACATTTTCCCCTGGTCTTCCCGCGCTCGTTGTTACCCCCTGCTTGAGTACCAGCGTTTGTCCGAGCTTGATTTTCTCTTGATTCTTGGATAATGCTTCTCGTTGCGCAGCCTTTTTTTTGTACGCTTGTTTCTGTATGGTTCTTGGTTCTGACGATTTCGAGACACGTACTACACCCCCCACGCTGCGATCCCTCTCTGTAATCTACACCGGTCTTTTCTGGCCTTACTCCCACACAAATTGCGTGAAGTTTGTGGTTCTTTGCGTTCAAAGCTAGCAGGGAAGTTCAGAAGCGTGTAACGCAGCTCCTGATCACCTAGAAGCGCGCGGCAGATTTCGGGACTTCTCGCTCGTTCTGGAATTGCTTTGTCTCCTGTTTACTTACCGCTACGCTGACTGTCGCAGGTTGGGCCCGCATGGAGATAGGCCACGTACGCAAAACGCGGGGTTCGCGATACCGCGAGGCGGAGGCGCGCTGCGGACATGTTGGTAGCACGAGGCTCGCACCTAGCGGTGCACACCATCGCAGCACCTATCCCTCTTTCACAGACGTCTCCCCTACGAGTCTCAACAGCGAGCAGCACCCTTACTATAACGTGTGACCAGACAAGCTATCCAAGTACGCACCGTGCAACGCTACCCTTCGGTAGCTCAGCGGTAGAGTGGGGAGCGCACTATGACCCATTTCTATGGGCTAGTTTCGCCTTAGGTTGCCGGTTCGACTCCGGCCCGGAGGACTTCCTCTGTTCGTCACCCAAATTTTTGCACTTGCTGGCTGTGACAGATCGCTCGAAATTCAAGTTGGACAGTTATCGCCCCACGTTCCAGTAACCAGAAAGTCGGCGAAAGCAGCGGCGTCCCCTACGCCCTGCGCCCGCGTCTGGCAATCATATTCTTCTCCTTACCTCAATTTGTGTTTCTTGCATCGCACGCAACCAACACCAAGCACTTCTGTATACCAGGAGAACATACAAAACCGAACATATTGTACACGGGCAGCCAGAACTGAGATCAAACACCAAAATGCAAAAATGGGGCCCATCTCCCGAAGTTTTCCTCTCCAACCCTGGCTCTCATTTGCGCCACTGCCTCGTGCAACGCATAAGCAGCACCCGTCTGCCCCTTCCTCACTGCACCTGACTTCCTCAGCTGAAGTAACTCCTTGTAGTAGGCTTTGACGATTATAGGCGCGTCGTCATCCATGATCGACCACATCGTATTAGCGACGACACCCTGAAATCCAACTGCGAGCATGCCCGCCGCGAGATGCGCGGACTGTTCGAGGTTGTTCGCATCGAGCGTGGCGGTCTCGCACGCTGAAAGGAAAGCGAAGCTCTGCGTCATCTGAGGCTGTGCGCATAAGGTCCGCAAGCGATAGTGGGCCGTCATAAAGCGCGAATGCGCTTTGCGTCGCAGAGTCGCCGGGGTGCTGCGAGCCATGACATGCAAGGTGCACCCACGGGAATTGACTGATGATACCCCTCACAGAGGATACGGTAGCCTGTTCATGGTTCAAAAGCGTGCTTGCGAGTTGTGAATCGCGTAGAATGTTGGCAACACAGGTACCCTCGGCTGTAGTTCGAGGAATGGGAAGGTGACCCGGACTCGGAGATGCTGGCTGTGTCACGATAAGCGCATTTGGTACCGGCTTTGGCTTCATGGCGGCTTCATGGCTGCGCCAAAACGCGGAAAGGGATGGAGTGTACGAGGAGACGACGAAGTCGAAGGCTCGCGGACCGTCGGGAGCGCTGTAGAGGCCCGCGAGGTGTAGAGGCAGCTGCATTAGCGGACCTGTGGGGCACCAAGTAATGTGCGGTAGATAGTCACCCGACGACTGAATGGATTGAGTCAATGCATTATTCGAGGAGAAGGATGATGGTGAGACGACTCAACTGGACTTGATATGTTGAGCGCATTCAGAACGGGACTCACGATCCAGTCCCATATGAGAGCAAGTAGATATTCGAGAGGATCGTCCGACCGAAGTGGAGATAAATGTAGGAGAGGATGGGATTTGGGATTGACGGCAAGATTCACCTGTGTATCAGGGTGCACTTCGGACGCTTCTTGGGTGGCAGGTTCACGTTCGTAGATTGGATGCCCCTTCAGTTGCCTTGTCCAGAACGACCCTAGTTGGAGCGCTCGCTCCAATGAGAGCTCGGGGAGAGGTATCAAGGTGATGCCACCTCCAGGCAAGATGCCTAAAGCGTCGCACTGTGTCGCGTCCACGTTCAAAACCACGACAGGCCCGTCGGCAAATTCGGTGGAAGAAGGTATAAGGGAAAACAGTCTCTGAGGACGAAGGAAGTCCTCGAAACCTTCGCACTCGCGAATCTTTTTGAAAAGCTCGTCGTACTGGATGGAAAGTCGACGATAGTGGTCTTCCCCAACATTGACTGTCATGCCAGGACCCTCCCTGTAAGCATTTGCCGCAAAAGAGATAGGCGCGGTCGGCTGAAGCTGCTGTTGAACCTTTTGCAGTGACTCAGCGAGGTCAGGATGGGCTTCCCGAAGTTCGTCAAGAGGCGTGCGCAGCCATAGCACTTGTGACCATATCAGTGCCCTTCCTGCTTCTAACCACTCAATTGGCTGCTCTAGAAAACCAGCGGCGATGGCAGCAGACACCGCGGCACTGAGAAACTCTCCCGGCTTCGCAGATACACTAAAACGGTGACGTATATCGTGGCCCAGCCAGACAACTTCGGGAAGGATAGCGAAGATGTAGGAGTGTGCCAATAGCAATGGTTCTGTTGAACTGAGAAAGGGATGCGAAGAGTGCAGCTGCACACAGTGCAAAGCCGTCGTCAGCCGAAGTGACGAGCTGCCAAGGGGCTGCGCAATTGCTTCCATGTACGCTTGAACAGCCATTTCAAAGTTGAATAGGGTCGGTTTGTGGTTGCATCTGACAGCCAAGGATTCGCCGAGGTTGCTGTAACGTATGAGCTTCGCTGGATGGCCATCCGGCGTAAGCTCGACTGCACGACGATGTGCTGCGACGGACTGCTCGATATCGTCGAGGTGGCTATTGCGTTTAAATCGCACATGCAACAAGAGACCGAGGTTATTGTAACAAGATGGCTTGGCTGGATGGTCATCTGGTGTAAATTCAACCGTACGACGGACAGCTGCGATAGACTGCTGGATATCGTCCAGGTTGCCGTTGCGCGCATAGCGCACAAGTAGCAAGTGGCCGAGGTCGTTGTAATGTATCGCCTGGTTAGGATGGCCATCCGGTGTAAGGTCCGCCGCACGACGTGCTTCGGAAATCAGGTTGTTGACGTGAGGCAAGTCATCGGAGGCACTCAGGAGAGGATCGGAGAGGGACTCCCAGTGCAGACTCGCGGCAAAGCCATCAATGACTGCACCTGTTCCTACAGCTAGATCGGTGCGAGCAACAGTGACCAGCTTAAATGATACTGCATCGTTTGTATGACGCCGCGCTGGCATATCTGTAGGTTGCCGCGGTGTTGAATGATGGTCGTCTTCCGTGAGGCTTCCGGACAAGCCTGTGTTCCTGGCAGTGCTACTCGAGACACTTGGATCATCCAACAGAACGGACGGTGGTGAAGACGGCGTGGATTTTACGGGTATAGTGGATTGTGAAGAGTTGTCATGAGCAGCGGTGGGCGGCTGCGAGCGGTCGAGATCTGGACTACTATCATATATATCAGTATCTTACGCCAGCTGGGTTAAATTGCCCAATACTCGCCTTAAATCCACTTCCTCGATGCGTGATGTTGAGACTGACGCTACAGACGCCAAGTACAACCGGGCGCAGCCGGCGCTGTTCGAAAGCTGTCAGATAATGTCCTGAGCACCGCACAATCATAGGACTGAACAGACCATCTGATACGTGTATTCTCTGCCGCTTCCGACGTCACAGTTTGGCAGTAAGGGCACTGAACCACAGGGGACACCTGGTGGATGATGACACTCATCTCAATGGTCATATCAGCCTGCACGGTCGCCCAGACGTCAGGATTGATGATAGAAGGCTGTCCAGCACTCTGAAGAAGCAGGTTGTAGTCGTTCGCTTGCACGTATCTCCAACCCTCGCCGTCCCTGAACCGATCAATGACTCTCGTATGCACGTCCTGCAAATGCAGCCGTCAAGACGGTAAGCTAAGATATGATGAGACCAGCACTCACATTCAAGGACATGCCTACTTCAAGTCTGAGCGGTCGACCCAATGCGTCGATGAGAGTTATGTAGGCGATGTTCACGTCCAGAACGTGTGGAACCTCTTGCATGAATGGCCAGGTGAACAACCGAGTGAACGAGCCGAGCAAATCAGTCAGAAGATTGGTCAGTCCACTGCCAGTGTCCACACTACTCGATGCGACAACGACACCTGTCTCTTCGGTGTTTGCCATTCTGATAGCTGTCGTGACGGACCGTCCCAACGAAGATCGTTCGGCCGGGGAAAGTATGTGGCGCATAGCTCTGATTAACCCGTCCGCCGAGAACGACATGTGCACTAGATCCACTCCCATAAGCCGGAGCTGAAAGGTGTTCGAGGGACTGGCGTCGTTGCCAGCATCTATAAAGTAATTGGAAGTCAACCTTAAAGACGAGACAAACCACGCGAGACAAACCACGCGAGGCCGCGGCACGCGAGAGTGATGTCATCTTAGGGTTGCGCGTTCGGACAACGAGCGCGCGACTTCCTCGCTCACCTTCAACGACTCACTTGGCTCTACCACTGGAAATACTATACTCTGTACTAGATCAGAATGGGTACCTACAAGAGATCCAAGCGACATGCCACATGAGAGATGACAGTGCCACGGCCGTGCACACACCGTTCAGCGCAGCGCTCGCGCGTCTTCGGTCAACTTGCTCAAGATAGCCCTGGGTGCGAATACAGCGGTGTCTGCTTGCAGCGCCCGTGGGCCTGAGCACTGGAATATATATCCTAAGACTCTTTTGCGCACTCTTCGGAGGTTTGAGATCTATGCACGAGAGGCATATTGAGGCACGCGAGAGCAAGGTTATGGTCGTAGATCGTGCACCAAGTACGGTAGGCGAGCGCCGGGCGCGCAACCTCTCAATTTCAGCTTACTGGCAGAGTCATAACATCAGAAATACGAGTCCGCAGACTCGGTACAGGATGAGTACATTCGCCAATCCGAGAGACGATCCACGAGAGGTAGCAACAGCGCCGCGCGCGGGACTTCGACGTTCGAGCTCAGCGCTCAGCACTCCCACATCTTTCCACTCGCTCGCAATGTCCATCGACGTCGACACCTCACCGCGACATGTCTACCACTAGATTTCCGAGGTTCGTGTTCGATACGGACCCGATGCGTTTGCGAACCGGGCTAACCGTACACGCATCGTCCAGACTTAAGTGTTCGAGCTCGCGCGTCATAAGGACTGGGATTACAAGGGGCGGATTATGACAGTACGGTGATAGGTGTGTCTTAATTTCTTCCAGACAACCACCAAACTATACTGAGACCCGGTCGACAGAGAAAGAACTTGGGAGACACGCATCATAGAGATTCGTGTGCGGTGAAAGGCGCGATCCATGTCAGACGGTGCAACGGGAGCAATGGTGCGTCTACAGTAACACTACTAGGACACGCACGAGAATCGCTTACCACCATAAGTTAGTAACTTACAGTCTTGGGTCTACGTCACGATGCTGCTGTAAACTTTCTGTATCGTATCCTGTATGCCCCTCATGCACCAATAGATGTTGCGAACTGTGTTGTATGGAGATGGTTGTGTAGCGTGCGGGGGTCTGAGAGTTTCATCTGGTACGACGGTAAGCTGTGCGACGCCGGCAGGCGAGCGAAGCGAGGCTGACGGATGAGCACCAGCAAACTACCGAAATATGTATACACGACCATCAAGGTTGAATTGGGCCTCTGCGATCTTGACCATCGAGGGTGTCCAAATCCTACTTTCAGTACCCCCGTGCGGAGCACGGGTACCGACTAGTTTGCCACTGTAGCAGAGCACGGTCACGACGGATTCAAGTTGCACTTGAAGTTAGAAACAACTTGCCTGACTCGAGTCTCGTTATACGGGCCTCCATTCTTCCCGTTCGTGGGTCATTGCGCACTACATGTACAATCAGTTTGAGCTAAATGGAGAAAAGGTGGACAGGTCAAGGAGCACATACCCATGAAACAGGCAGTTTGCCACGTAAGTCGCGTTGTGAGGCGCCGTTCAGTGCCTGGGATGAAAGGTTCGCGCAATTTGTGTAGATGCATAGGTTAGTCGAGACACTCGAGTTCTGCTTATGCATCAAGGCGCACCGCTGATCTGAGTACTAAGGCTGTTTACTCCAGCTAAACGATCTATGTCAATGGCAAAACTTTATACAGTACAAGGCTAACGCTCACAGTCTAACACCGACTGTACGCTCCCAATATCCGCCTGCACGGCCGCCAGGCGGTTCTCCATGCGTTCCAAAGAAGTTTGCATGACTGAACACGATGTGAGTCCGCTTCGTGCGTATGGGCCGCACAGTACCTACCAAGCGGCATGGATGTCATGAGGTCTGTCATCATGCGATGGATAGAGGTCACGCGAAAGCGCATGTCTTGCTCCAGTAGACGTCCAGTACGCTTAGCGCTTTCAACGGCCTCGTTCCCTTGCCCGGCCAGATTTCTTAAGAAATGCACTGTCTTGCCTCTCAGTTCGTGTAATCGCTCACTCGAGACGGAAATCGTACCCCATTGACCGTGTCCCGCTGTCTTCACAGCATAAGCCAGCGTTTTGAGCATCTCGATCAAAGTCTTCACAATCAACTCTCGCAAGTCCGGCTCAATGCGCGCGCCATCGTAGATGTTCAAACATAGCAGATATGATCTGAACGTCTCGAGCAGCTCCGTCAGCGCTTGTAGAGTCTCGCCGACTCTTACAGCCGCCTGGAGTACTATTAGGGACACACTCTCCACACGGAGAAATGAAGGGCGTACCCGCAGTAGTATCGCAACAGCAACGAAGATCGCCTTCCCTCCCGGTACCTTCTGTAAACGCAGTGAGCGTGCATGCCGCCGTGCAGCCACTGCGAACACATCGTCCCCGCCGCCGCTTCGCCGCCCACTTCGATTACGGCAAGCACACATTTGGCGATTGGAATGAGGGCGGGCCGTAGTCTTCTTGAAATTTCGGAGCCATGTCGATACTCGTCGACCGCCTGTGCCTCGTGGTCGAGCACACCGAATATCGCGCCTTCATCTGAGCATCCCTCTAAGCGCTGATACAATTCGTAGTATCTCGACTTCGGATCCCGGAGGTCATCGCCTGTTATCTGCCGGTACTTGTCGAGTGCGTCGCCCCACAACGCAGCCATGTTGTCCGTCCCGCGACTCGGGAGAATCTCCTCGGCATGGGGAGTCCCTGAGCGAGAACGTCAGCGGCTTGTATATGAGGATACAGCTTTGTGGCAACGAACCTGAACTCGGAGAGCGCGATTTGGGCCGCCTCACCAGATCGTAAATCTGTTTGAGTGCTCGAAGTGCTCGACCATGAAAGCCGCAAAGCATAGCTTGAGGTGGTGGTGAGTAGTAAGAGAGGCGAGGAGAGAGGAGACGTTATCAGACGCCGGTGTGCTGCAATCGCGAGGCGAGACGTCGATTGCGAACATGCGGCCTACAGAAGGCCATGCGCCTACATGTTGCTGTATTAGGCCACACAGCAGCCACACAGATTTCATATACGGATAGTCGCGTGCGTCCGGCTTCCCGAACTGTAAACGCAATGGCAACGGGCGAGTATTTCTTCACGCACATCCATCCAGCACCAATCGAACGACCATTGTGAATGCTTTCAAGCACACAGGGCTCATCGTGCACAACGATTTGCCTTCAGCGCACCACTGTTACTGACAGTGGTAGCTACATTGCCGACAGAACATCTACCTGGAACTCACGGCGTCGCTTTCACACCACCTGTCCTACTTGAGGCGAACGTTAGTGAACAAACTCTGTCGTGCACGGAGCAAACATAACGCGGTAGACCGCTTCGCATGACACGGTGGCCGACCGACGTGTAAAGATCCCAGTCTTCTTCGTAGCCTTGGCTTTCGAAGTGATGCTGAGCACTGGGTATTGATCCGTATACCGCGTTGATACCGTCTGGAATGGCAGCTCAGGAAGACGGCAGTGCTGAAGCGCTGAAGAGGCGCGTCGGTGACCTTGACAATTTGAAGCAAAGATGCATGATGATGGAGGTCAGAGCGTAAGGTACAGATGTCTCCTGGCTCTTCACCACCACGACGTATATCGGAACTCACTGCTCCCGCAACGGCCTCGACTCGCATGGCTGGTCGACATTTCGCATCGGATTGGCCCATAAGGGAGCGAGGTCGGCTTCTCTATTCACGACTCGGCAGGCGCGACCGATATCCGTAGCTCTTCCACCGTGTATCCTTCTATCAAACGCGACGGCCAGCTCTACCTTCCACACCGTGAGCTCCACCGCATCGGCTTGACGAGCTCGATTGTCTCTTCTACGTTTGTCCCAGCTCTGCCATGTACAGCTTCGGCTTTTGCCGCGTCGTCGGTTGCTAGCTCTGCCTCCGAGCCGCTCGCGCCTCGTGAGCTCCGTCGTCTCGGTCGCGTCTTCCGCCGCAGCGTCCATGTACGTCCTCCGTCTTGTTATGACAGTCCATCACTAATTCTGTCGTCTCAGCTTTTTTGGTGCATCTTCTTCAAGTCGGGGCAGCGCCACCGCGAGCGTTGCACACGCCGGCTTCCTCGATACCGTCCCCGCGCTCGCCGCGTAAACCCCACTCCATACACACCTTCTTACCTATCTACTTACTGTCGCACTTCGAACTCTTCCCCGGTACAGTACCCGCCCGCGCTCGTTGTTCCACTTGCTTGTGAACATCACTATAATTTCCTGTCACATATGCCACTTTGTACGCCTGTCACCATTTGGTACTGGTTCTGACGACTTGGAGACACGTACTATACCATTTGCGTCGGCGCTTTCGTCCTTCAACCTACACCGGTCGTTTCTGACATTCTTACTCCCACACGCCTTGCGTGATTCCACTGGCTACTCGAACTTCGCAAGAAAGGTCAAATGCTAATAGATAGGTCAGTGTGGCGTGTTCGACGGTACTACACGTTTGTCTGGGCGTCGGTTTGTCTACGGTTTTACTGCTCTTGGTGAACGTGACGGCAATAAGGCCCGCAACGGCGTCAGTGTGGCTGGACTACGAGATAGACGCGCGTCGCGGAGCGAGAAGGGCACGAGGCTCGCATCCGGCGTTCCACCATCCTCCTCAGGCGCTCGCAACACGACTTCTTCCTGCCGCAAAGCACTGGCGGCATCCATACGAGCTATGAGCAACCGCCCGTTGTGACCGTGGTCTCACAATGGACCCTCCATCCTTTGGTAGCTCAGTGGTAGAGCGCGGGGTATATATTCATCATCTAGTGGGTTTTCGCCGCCGAGGACGTTGGTTCGACTCCGGCATGAAGGCCTGGCCAACAGCCTTGATATTTCTACATGTTACATTCGCTTGACGTTTGGTGACAGCCGTCCGTCGTGTCATTGTGTCGCGTCGGCTTCAAATGATAAGTACAGTCGTGCTGCTCAGCGCCTAATAGAATGACTCAGATCGAGGGCAATCTCCTTACGCTGAGAATACGTTCGCTGTATCTGTGCGTTTCTGAGAACCAGGCTGCGGGCGCGTTGTGCATAGTAAGTAGGCGCTCAAAGGTGTGAACTCAGCAGCGTCTGCTCCGAGGCGTGGGATTTCTCGCGTGGCGAGGCTTGGTCACGGTGCGGCTGGCGCATCTTTTGTGCCGAACTTCCATGATGAAGTGCTTACATGGGGACCGGACTGGGCTGGATAGCGAATGTTGCTAGGCATCGTGCGGCACCTCGATCGCATCGCTCTCAACGGTGCGACGATCTCCTGCTACGTATCTGGCAATTGAACAAGGACGCGTCAAATTCGGGGTGCGCGTTAATATGCGGCCGGAATCTGACGACCTTGTCGGTGTATATCTTTGCGGTCGTTCAACATCACCGAGATCCCCGTGGAGTCTCTGAAGGCACAGGTTTGATCTACGGTACACACCTCATATGAACCGACACTTGCCTACCACAGCTGACCTTCTACTTGAAGATCTGTAAGTGGGCGTAGACAAATGTTCTGGCAGGCTGCTAGGCGTTGGGTCTCATCTTTGCGCCCGCTGGCGTGTCGGTGCGCTCTCAGTCTAGTATGAGTGATTGCATGGCCGGTATCTTATCTAGTCATGTGTGTGTGGAAGTGGAAGTGGGACTGCTGCCTTTCTTCCATCGAGGCACTCTATCTGCCCGACTGGACGAAATGCGCTGTCGGCGATGATCTGCTTATTTCGGGGGAGTAATGCTCTCTGACGTGTGCAGGTCCCCAGCCACTCTCCATATAAAGAGCGCCTTCGCTCTATTCACAAGCAAGACTGGCCGTGGCTCTTGCCCCCATCTTGCTTCGCATAATGTCTCTCCCAACCCTTAACACAACCCAAGAAGCTCAGATCTTGGAGGTTCTCTTCAAGTCCACCGCGACATCTGTTGTGCCGTTGCTGCTCTTAGAGAGCTTAATATTGGGCAGGTCGCGATGTCTTTTCACGACTGATGTGTATTCATATAGGCTCAACAGGTGTACTCTGCGCATGCGTACCCTTGGGATCGTACCTACTTTGGTACGCGCATCTCAGTTATACCGGGTACCCAGTTCCTGATGAAGAGCAACAGGTTCAAGTCTCACTCCTTCTCTCGTACATCTTTCATCTCAGTCCCCTGGATCATATTTGTAGCGTTGATCACGCATTGGGCATTGTCGTTGCGGCAAGTTGAATCGATCCTGAGTGGACGGTGAGCGTGTTCAACCGCCCACGCTCCGTTCTCTTACTGACCTCTTTTGTCGCTGGCAGCCCGCTGGATATCTCACTGTCTGACAAGACAGTATGGCTTGCTGTCAAAGATTCATACGATCTCGGTAGTATCGGCGAACATTACGAAGCTTACGGCGGAGCATGGCAATTCTTGTTACCCCTCGTGACAGAGACTGCCCTATTTGGTATGTGCGAACTGCAAGAGAGTCTCCAAGAGGCCTAGTGGAAGTCAGACACTGATTCCCAACAGGCTTTGCCTCAGTTCTATACGTGATCATGGCGGCCACCATTCTTCGGCGAGTACTTTGTGTGACGCCTGACATTGTCACTGACATAAACATGCTGACCTGATCATAGTCGGCCCTGTTTCCAATGGCGCTCCTCCTTTGCCCTACTGATACCCACCACCGCCTCAATCATGTACACATTGTCCTTGACACACTGGGCTATCTCCCTTCGTTACTTCACCAAGATGGCGAACTTGGCACCCACTGGTCAGCCATTCCCCGATGATCATCCGCTAGATACAGCATTCATAGCCCTGCTATTACTGAACGTACGTCTGATTCCTAATGGAAGTGATGGCGTAAGCTACAGAGGACGCTAACATGTGCGCTGCCTAGGCGGTCATGAGTGATTCGATCGTTCTCTGGCGCATGTGTGCTGTATGGAAGAACGCGCGCCCAATTCTAATCTTTGGCACAGTCTTGCTTGTTACAACAACGGCACTCAACATAACGAACGGCATCGTGCTCGTCGTCGGCACAGCTGACCGTGCTGGCAGCGGTATAATATTGAACAGCAAGGACTCGGAGCTACTCTTCACATACGGTAGCAATTCCATTGGACTTGCTGCGGCCTTTATGTCGTTGATAAGTAATCTTTGCGCAACCGCGTTGGTAGGGCTGAAGGCCTGGTATGTCATCTGCATGATCACATCACTCTCCAGGCTTAAGACAGACCAGGCTGCACAGACAGCGTCGTTCGATGCACCCTTGTGCCAGTAGTCATCGCACGCTGGCGGAGCGCTTCTTGGGGTTTCTTGTGGATTCTGGTGTAGTTTATACAGGCATATGGGTGAGACCTATCCGCTTTCATGTGTATATCTCGATCTCACAGCAGCCTTCAGCTCTTGTATTGCATCAGCTTCTTCCGGGGAATCTCAACGCGCGCCGTCTTAGGTCCGAGTCAGGACTTGAATGACTTCCGCGTCGTAACTATCGTGGACCAACTCGACGCGGCCATGGCTCAGATTACGGCATGTGTCAATGCTACTATACCGACATAAATCGGCGCCACGCTCACTCAACGTGTACAGACAATATATCCCCTCATCGTCTTCATCCTCGTTGCGCTTGACAAGGTTCACCATTCACGTACGCCCAAGATGCCACGCAACGATGAGCGGCCTCAACAAAGGAACTTTGCCGAGGCTGTCACCGTCACCTTCGAAATTGATATCGAACGAAGTAAGATGCCCGCCCCATGCTCTGCGTGTCCGATGGAAGATGTTTGTCAGGATTGTCCTGGCGAAGAAGTGAAGAGGCTTGGCTCAGAGAACGCATGAAGCTTCGCATACAGATGCAGACGTACGACTCAATCACAAGCGCACACCGGTGAAAGGATCTCGCACGAGTCGCGTCGACAGAGCATTGTCGTAATCAATATCCTCCCGGATACTTCTGTTCGCTGGTCATATGTATTCGCCCTTAAATATTTCCCGTGGTGCATATAATACTTTAGCACATATGTCACCTATCGTGTCCTCAGTTGATGATGTAGAGCAAACATGGGTGGCGAGTTGAACGCCGCCGAGCAGCAGATGGTGTTGACGCCATTCGAGACAACGGACTGGATATGTGAGGCACTTAAGGCCATGTCTGAGGCCGTGACTACTCATTGTAGTGAAGCCTAAAGTGTGGACGAGTGGACCTCGAAGCGCGCATCACAAACATACCGACTTTCTTAGACTCGTGCATGCGTCCTGAGAGAAAGAGGATGGATACGTCAAAGGGAAGTCGGACGCTTTTGTCACTGTCAGGGCATGATGGTCGGGAGCAAGCGCGAGCGCGTCGGTCCGAAGACTCCGCGATCCGCGCCTCCCGCCCGTGCTCAGCGCTCAGTGCTTAGCTTCAACCATCATCACTTCACATCTACAAAAAAGCGGGCACGACGCTAGGTTGAATATACATTGCTTATCAGCACGCTTATACTGCGGGCGCGAACATCTGCGAATACCTTGTCAAGTTGAAGTCTGTCGGCCTCGTCAGCAACGTACACACTGAGCAGGCACTCTCGCCTCGAGGCTCGTTCATCACCTCTCGCACCCCCATGATATCCGTTTCTCCTACGTCACTAACGACGCTCTGTCAGGTTCGGAGGGGCTGTACCCGGTAATGGGGCGTTAACATCCACTACCTGAGCATCACGATCCGCCATTGCTTGTCGCTGCGAGTATTACCCGCACACGGTATCGGGATGATGGGTTGGCAACGAGGGTGGATCTGATAACGCCCGGGTATCCCGTCACGATCCGCCGCCGGTATCCAAGGGCGCAACCAGCCACGACCACACACTCCTACCGGTCGGGCGTGAGAGAACATGCGGCATTCTCCGGATGGTGTGTCCTGCCTGTTGTCTCTTGACGCGTACATCTTCGCAACCTCCGTGCTTCATGTTCTTTATCATCATAGATACATACTCGCTATAAGCTCATGTCGAATAAGGGAATCCGATTGAGTCGCCCCATCGCGAGCTTCCCGCAAGCCAGTTGCTTGTCGCAGCGCCCACTCCTAACCGGCACTGTGCTGAAGCTACCTTCGGACGGACGAGAACAATAATCAGCAGCGCCCTGCCTGCACTGAGCGATGCTATACGCAGATCATCTGCGTGGCGTGTCCCTTGTGACACCGCTTCCCGATCGGAGAGACCTGGTGGCAGAGTCTGCCGTCTACTCTACGCTTCTCGATCTACCAGGGTCCCGATGTTGACAGAGAGATCAGCGAGGGGAAAAATTGGCGAGGGACGGGAGAGAGTGAGAGGAAGGAACTAGAGTGCAGTCCGGACGACAGTCACGCTGTGTGCTGGCAGTGCAATGCCTTTGGCGCTCTCGACTACCGGCTCTCTTTACTTGGCGGATGGGATCCCTCACTTCATACACAACTTCATATTCCCCCTGTCCGTTCACCCACAATCAGTCTCTTCCGGGACTGTACTGACGCCACTCCCGTAGACTCGAAACCCGCAGCTTCGACTGCTCTGGGTAGCGCCTCCTTCATATCCTCTTCCTCGCATCACAGATGCTCATTTAGCGGCCGCCATGGTCGATCGCTACTACCCGCCTGTTTCTGGGAGTGTTGCTCGTATCTGGCACTTGAAGGCGTGCTGCAAATTGGAGTGGGACTGAAGATGCCCTATTGGTCGCAAATCCACCATAGGGAGTCTGCTGACGCCTAGACCTAGTAGAGGTGTGCGCGTATCTGATACAATTGTTCGTTTCGCATGATGCCCACAATCCATTGTGCACAATATCTAAGTGAAGCCGCGGCGCCCTCACGATCAACACGCTCGCGCTTGTTGCAAGGGTCCTCATCTTTGC